GGCAGGACACCACTCTTGAGACTGTTATTAAAAATCTTGTTTTCACCATATTTCTGTCTCAGAGTCCATCCTTTGAATTCGGACAGGTGGGCATTTTCTCATACCAGGCAGTGTTCTAGGCTCTGGGGATAGAGCAGACAAATTGATTGAATAAGGAGAGAAAGAGAGAGAGAGAGAGAGAGAGAGAGAAAGAGAGAGAAAGAGAGAGAGAGAGAGAGAGAGAGAGAGAGAGAGAGAGAGAGAGAGAGAGAGAAAGAGAGAGAGAGAGATTGTTTTACTTTCTAATTGTGTTCTAAGTCCCTGAACCAATCACGATTGCCTGCCAATGTGTTGCTCTGATTGGTCAGACTTGAGTTAAATGCCTTTGAAGCAGAGAGGTTCAAAAAAATATATAAACCATCATGGGAGTCACAAATATAAGACAGATGTAAGCTACACATGTAACTTTAAATATACTAGTAGCCACATTTTAAAAAGTTAATCCAGTATATCCAGATTATCATCTCAACATTAATCAGTATAAAATATTATTAATAAAATCTGTTATGCACTTTCTTGTACTGTCTTTAAAATCAGCATTTTAGCAAGGCTTCTAGTAATGCCAATGTAAAAGGGGGGGAGGGGTGTTTCCAAACTTATTTTGAAAAACACTGTCCTGCAGGCTCTTTCATCTCTTCTGTTTTCCCCAAATCACAGTTATAATGGCAGGAGTACTGGGAGATCTGCTGAAACCTGTTTGAGCAATTGAGAATTGAAGACAGGGTTGTTACTGGTGAGACAAGCAGAGAATTAGTGGCATTTAATATTGTTTGCATGTTGCTGCCACCTATTGGTCTTAGCACATATTGCAAATACATAAACCCAACAGGTTTTGGTCCTTTGCAAGTCCTTGAAATTTCTGGTGACACACAGTAAATACTTCTCTCTTCTCCGAGTTCAGCACAGCCAGAGAGTGGTCCAGTTCCTTAGTAGGGACATCTGGGGATTAAGAAAATGAAAGAAAGAGACAGATGCAGAGATGGAAGGAAAAATTTAATACTAAAATTAATTCCAACTGTTCGTTTTTAATTTTTTTTCAATTACAGTTTATATTCAATATTATTTTGTATTCGGTTCAGGTGTACCGCATAGTGGTTAGATAATCAGATACTTTACGAAGTGGCCAGAAAGTCTTAATAGTTTGTATTATGGATGCTCAGGCCTATGTTTACCAGAATGTGTTTATTTTTCCAGCCCTCTTAGGACACACAGATTCCCTCTTTTTAAAAACCTTATTGTGCACATGTCAGTAAGTCTATTGTAATAGTTCCTGCTTTCTGTTTTTGCAAGTTGTTTCTATATTGCTATTCTTATACACCTTCTGAAAGCAGTTAACAGAATCAAATTTTTAACACTTCGTTTTCCAGCTGTGAAATGTAGCATAATGTAAGCCACTTCACGGTGCATCGTGAAGATTAAGTTGCACCTGGCTGTAAAATGCTTGGCACGGTGACTGACATGTATGGAGACCTCTGCAAATAATACTGTTCATAATGATAAATCCTAAATGGAAATTTGAACAGTGACTGGATATCTGAGGAGTTAATTTTATGTTCCATTTTTTAAATCCTTATTTTTTTTAAAAAAATCTTTATATTTTAGAGATACTTACTAAAATAGTTATGGACAAAATGATATGACTACTGGGGTTTTGCTTTAAAATAAACAGGAGGAGGGAAGAGGGTGGTGACATGGATGAAACAATATTGGCCATGAGTTGATAATTGTTGAAGCTGAGTGATATATATATATATCACTCAGCTTCAACAATTATCAACAATTATATTATAATGAATCATATATATATATATGATTCATTATAATATATACATTTTTATCTTGTGTGTGTTTAAAATTTAATTAAAAATAATAATGAGTTTTTCTATTTCTTACAGCACTGTATAGAACTGTGGGTACTACTTGATTTGTTAATTGCTACATTGGGATGGAATTTTTGGCATTCTTAGGAGTGTTGTTACTGTCTTTGAAAAGGAACGGGGGAAGTAATTTTCTATAATTTGTGAAGTGGAAAAGCCACTATCATGGTTTTTACATTGACTATTGGAACATTTCAAAAATAATAAAGGTATTTTCCTAATTAAAAAAAAAATAAAAAAAAATAAAAGAACTGGCTGCATATCCTCCCAGAAAAATATTTGATGGAAGCATGTTTTAGCTAACAATTAAAGCTCATTTTTGTTAGAAAAATAACAATAAAGTGTAATATCTTTGACACAGGGAAAATTTGTAATTCTTTAGGAAATGCAGAAAGGATGAATTGCAAAAATTATCTCTTTGTGCATCTTTCTTTTTGACTCTAATAAATAAATGAAGAAAATACCTAATTGGCCTGTGGACAGGAATCAAAGAAATGCCTGATTTGTGCAGATGAGGTTTATGTTCTTTTGTGTCACAGAGAACCTGCTTAATCATAGGGTTATCAATATTTTGACAGAAGTAACATCTCTCACGTCCACGCTTCACCTAATCCCATTACATCAAGTGAATTTACAACCCTGCCTCCCTGTCCCTTTTCACACCTGTCATGTAAGGAACAACTTCCAGCCCAACTGATGTCGTTCAGTGGTTGAGCATTGACCCAGAAACCAAGAGATCGCCAGTTCCATTCCTGGTCAGGATACGTGCCTGGGTTGCGGCTCGTATTTGGAATCATTTTGAAGTGTTAATGGTAAAGTCCTCATCCCTGCCCCGACATATACATTTCCTTTTTGAAGTTTCCTGCTTTTTCAGAAGTTACCAGAATGAATGACATGAGAGAATACTGTCCTCCTTCCGGGCAGGTAGTACTAGCAGCTTTTGACTTATACTGTTAACTATATTGTAACTCACTACTACCTACTCCATCAACCACAAATGCTTGATTATCATTCTGATACAATTTTGGTATAACGCATATCTAAGAATATGAAATTTATCAGGAACAAAGGAGATGATTAGGAAATGAAATACTTCCTTCGGTAAAACCACCAAATATCCAAGGGAGAGGTCTGTATAGCAATAACTTTGAGACCATTGGAGCTAGCTTGTCTCATAAGAAAACTCATTGTACTCAAATGCTGTCTGTGTGTCTGCTTCTAGGAACAGTCAACTAAAACAGAAGTGCCCATAGGAACACCCAGTTGGACTAGTACAGCAGACAGTTGAAAACATAGAATTGGAGATCGGGAGAGAAACAGAGACTGGAGATGAGAAACTAGGAATTACTCATACAGACAGACAGGCGCTAAAGCCATGAAAATGGTTATGATGACCAAGATGCTATGTACCAAGGAAAGAGCAGGGAGGATGGATATTGGATATCATTCACGTCTTTCCCCCTAAAACCGAGCATAGTAAAGTAAGGAGTAAGTTTGAACTAGTGTTTAACCTTCCAGAAATGTAGAATTAACTTTTACCCACACTATATAGTTAATGCAAAGCAAGAATCGGACCTTGGACCTCTTGAAGACATTTTTCTTTCTTATGAAAAACTAAAATCCCGTCAACCGCCTCACCCATTCTTATTTACTCTGCCAGGGAGTGTGTTTCCCAACTGAGAAGGTAGCAGACTGTTTCCTACGTATTGTCAGCGTACTTAGAGCAAGATGCTGGTGATGCCAGTCTGTGGTCACATCCCTTAAGTGCTATTAGACTTGGGGTTGGGAATGGGAAGGGGCCGTTAGAAAGCTGTAGTTAAAGCCGAAACCGGTTTGGCTCAGTGGTAGAGAGTCAGTCTGCGGATTGAGGGATCCGGGTTCGATTCCAGTCAGGGGCATGTGCGGGCACATCCCCGGCGGGGGTATGCAGGAGGCAGCTGGTCGATGTTTCTCTCTCATCGACGTTTCTAGCTCTTTATCTCTCTCCCTTCCTCTATGTAAAACATCAATAAAATATATATTAAAAAAAAAAAAGCTGTAGTGAAGACCAAGGCTTTGACCTCAACACTAGTCTTCTTTCCCTTGTGAGAGCTCAGCGGTATTGTTTCAACACTCTCAGGGCCTCCACTCAAGAAGTCGAAATACTGGTAGTTACATCAGTGATTTTCAACCGGTGTGCCCCAATTTTCAAAACACGCAGCACCTGACTACTTAGTCAGGGGCACCGACCTCTTTTCCCTTAGGCTGTGTCAATTTAAAAAAAATAATAGTAGCCGAAACCGGTTTGGCTCAGTGGATAGAGAGCGTTAGCCTGCGGACTGAAAGGTCCCGGGTTCGATTCCGGTCAAGGGCATGTACCTTGGTTGCAGGCACATCCCCAGTAGGGGGTGTGCAAGAGGCAGCTGATGGTTGATTCTCTCTCATCGATGTTTCTAACTCTCTGTCCCTCTCTCTTCCTCTCTGTACCAAAAAAAAAAAAAAAAAAAAAAAAAAAAAAAAAAAAAAAAAAATCAATAAAATATATTTAAAAAAAAAATAATAATGACAACAGCGAACCCAACAGTCGTGGTCCAGTGTGAATGATTTACTTAAATTTTTGGCGAGCTGCAGAATTGTATAATGAGCTTGCGTTGTGCCATGAGATGAAAAAGGTTGAAAACTGATGCATTTTTATATCGGGAGGATGAAAAGAGAGGTAATGCCTGGAAAGTGCTTTAGCCTCCCCAGCCGGACACAATCAAGAACGTGTCAATCTTTTCCGTAGCGAGCGTCCAAGGTGGTTCTCGTTGGGGTATTAATTTCTCCTTCCCGGGAGAGCACGTCATAATTCACCACACGTTCTGCCCCTTCCCCACCTCCAGCCCCTGCAGCAGCAAAGCACTGCCCTCCTTACGACAGTGTCCCTCGCCAAGCCGTAAAGGAACGGCTTTTCCCCGAGGGTCCGGCCGCGCTGGCCAATCACGCTGCTCGAAGCCAGTGACGTCAGCGGCGCCGTGCATGCGCAGGGCGGGGAGACCTTGGCGAGGCGGCGGCGGGGCTTGGCGGAGGTGAAAGGCTTGGCGGAAGGAGAAGCACAGCGGCAAAATGCAGAGCTGGAGCCGGGTCTACTGCTCCTTGGCCAAGGTGAGGGCCCGCGGGGTGGGGTCGTGCGGAGCCAGAGGCGCCGGGAGGCCCGCTGACGGGCCCGAGACGCAGCCTGACTGGTGGGAGCGGGAGAGGCGGGCGGGCGGGCGGCCTGAGTGGGCCACCTGCCGCCCAGCCCCGAACTGGTTCTGTCCAGGCGGCTCCCTGCCCCCTCCACCCCCGGAAGCAAAGGCCCCGCTGGCGAGGCCCCGCCGGCTGTTGGACAGTCCGCAGTCACAAGTTCCCCACTCCCAGGCCAGGCCCATGGGGCATGCGGGTGCACAAAGGGCCGGCCTCTCCGCCTTGGAGGAGGAGGAGGAGGAGGAGGCAGAACTTGCCCTTGTGCCTGATGGTCGGTCTGGCCCTTCCTATCTCCTACCCTTTCCCTAACCTCGGCCCCTAATGGCCTAACTCTCTGCAGCGGTCAGGTTACCTTGGGGCCAGGCTTGGGTTGCCCTAGGAATGCCTCGGGAGTCTCTTCCATGTTTGCAGCTAAACAGGAATGAAGGTTCTTTGCCTTCTAGGGGTGTATTCCTAATTGCAGCAGGTTATCGGCAGGTCAGCGTTCCCTTTTCATCCTCATGCACGACACAGCCAGATTTTGTGTGTGTGTGTGTGTGTGTGTGTGTGTGTGTGTGTGTGTGTGTGATCGTGGCTGCGTGCTATACTGATGGAGACCCTAGGAGTAGCCTGTGTTCCCCGGAAGTTCACGTAGCGTGCTGGAAGTCATACACTTGGTGAGGGCCAGAGCTCGGACTAAACCTCAGGACTGGCATTTAGGCTGCCGTGTGGTCTGCCTTCCCGACCACAGGTGCAAAGAATTGTCTTGGGTTAGAGAACATCACCAGATGAGTGCAGGTTTTGGCACTGCCTCTGATTGCCTGCTGTGCTCGGAGGTATTTGGTTTGTTTCTTCGTGCTTCACTGTTGTAAGAAACAGTGGCCATCCATAGTTAGAGATTGTTGTGGAGATTATGATGAAGTGTGTAAAACCGCAGTAGCTCTTGAATGCAAATGCGTTACTGAGTACATTTTCCTAAATTACCGCAACTCATTTTCTGTTTTTGTAGTAGATGATTCAGGAACGTCTTCATAGATTGTACATAGGTTTGAGTTAGGAAACAATAATTGAAAGTAAAAGGTTGGCCATAATGTAGATTATTCAGATACGTAGGTTAGAACTTTAAAGAACTTTCATAATTGACCTTAAATTGGTCCCTGACGTAAATGAGCCATGCTTGCTGAAACTTTAATAAAAATTAACACTGTTGAGTAACGTTTTTTTATTAGGTTAAACATGAGCTGTTTGAATATTTATAAGACAAAGATAATGTGGGAAGCTGAGGCTGATAACTTTAAATAATTGCTGTTATCAAAGAGGAGAAATTGATAAGTAACCTGGGTGGCAATGGGAGATACATACTAGTGCTGGACACATTTGCTCGAAATCATTATTTTTCATCGACCTTCAGTAGTTCTTTGCTTACATAATTGGGACATTTTCTTTTTTTCTTCCAGAGAGGCCATTTCAGCCGAATATCTCATGGCCTACCGGGAGTTTCTGCAGTGCCGCTGAGAACTTACGCAGATCAGCCACGTAAGTACTTATTCAGACAGTTTCCTCTCAAAATTGTTCATATATTTATTCACTTAAATGTTTTCTGAGCACCTACTGTGTTCTAGGTGGTGAACAAGACAAAGCCCTGTTCTTATGGAACTTATAGTCCTGTTCCATAAAATATAAATAATACATAAGTGACATAAGTATTTTGGGACGTGATGGAAAATTAAAGCAGGTAATTGGGAGGAAAGAGACTATTTCACTAGCAGAGGAGGTGTCGGCAAGAGACTATTTCACTAGCAGAGGAGGTGTCGGCAAGAGACTATTTCACTAGCAGAGGAGGTGTCGGCTTTTCTGAGGAGATATGTCTGAGCAAATGCCCTAGTGAAGTGGGGGAGCGAGAATGTTATTTCAGGCAAAGGGAGACAGTGAGAAGGGTCTCAGGAGAGAATTGGATTGTGAGGTTTAAGGATTTGCAGGAAGGCTGGTATGGCTGGAGCAGAGACTCATGGAATGTAAAATCAGATAGGTAGGTAGAGATTAAGTCATGGAGGGTTTTGCGAGCCAGGCCAAGGAGTTTGGATTTTACTCCAAGTGCAATGGGAAACCACTGAAGGGTTTTCAGCTGGGAGGAGGGTGTGATCCTCCTAGATAATAAAGCCTAATATGCTAAGTGACTGGTTGACCAATTGTTATGATGTACACTGACCACCAGGGGGCAGATGCTCGGATGGGAAGGTTAGCTTCCTGGTGGGGGATTAGTTTGCTGCTGGGGTCTGGCCCATCAGAACTGAACAAGATGGGCCAGACACACCCTGGAGCCCTCCCACAGCCCGTCCCTGGCTGTTTAACCTCCCGTGTTCCTCCCCTGCCCCAGTCATGCACTGGTGGGGTCCCTCATGGGCCTGATCCTGCAAGCCAGGCTGAGGGACCCCACTGGTGCATCGGGCCTCTAGTTTTATATATTTAATTTAAAAGTTCGTTCTGTCCACTGGTCAGATTGTGTTCGTTATTTAACACTGTTTAGAATGGTGACATGTCTTTTTTTCAAATTCTTAATGAAAATCTTGATGGGCTTGTCAAAAGCACATTTTAAAGACTAGGAGGATTTGCCTGAAAGGAAGCTGTGGGTTATGGGTATTTTCTTCTCTATACTTTTTTATATTTTTGAAGTTTCTATAAAGGATATGTATTTTATTTTTTTAAAGCATTTAAAACAAGTTAATGGGCCTCCAAATACCAAGGATATTGATTATTTGAAATTATCGGTTTTGACATTTACTGGAATCACCCATATGATTATAAGTAAGCTTGTGCATCATCATATTTTAGAGCTTCATTGTACAATCATCAGTTGAGGGAAACTAGCCATCAATCTCCCTGTATTCTGTAAAATAACTTTATTCTGTATCCTTAACTGTTATCAAACTGTTATCATTTGGGAGATTTTATTTCTAGAAGAGGATTCTGTTATCAGTAACCAACAGTGAATAATTTATCCTAGCTTTGAATAGGTCAAGAAAGCCTTTAAAAAAATACTAATTTGATTGTGGGAAAATAAATTCGACCATTATTCCCTTTGTCCCTTTTTTTTCCCCTTTCTTTCAGGCTTTTTTTTTTTTTTTTTTTTTTTTTTTTTTTTTTTTTTTTGGCGTTATAATTGGCATACACTCTTTGTCTCTTTTGTTAAGTGGAAATATTATTTATTTTATACTCACACATCAGTAGGAATGTTAGATTTTTATTTCCAAAGCATGCAATTAAAGACTTTATGGCTAATTCTGCACTCTTGGAATAATTCAACAAAGATTATTCATTGCCTTCTATTTACCGGGCATTTGGGAGCAGGAGCTTAGATTTTAGTGGAATGCAGTAACTGAGCTCTTATGAATCAGCTTAGTGATCTCTTGACCTTGAGTAAATTGATAAATCCCTCCCCTTAGTACCTGCATGGATACAATGTATAAATCTTTGATTGGATGAAGTAACAAGCATTTTTACTTACATATTTATATTCATCTGGAATATTTATTTAAAGGAAAGGACTGTGACCCTTTGTTTAGTACTTAAAATGGCACAGTATATAACTTAGTATATATTTATTCATTATTTCAACAAATTGAAATATCTATTCTGTGTTAGTTGTTGGGGCCAGTTGGTGGGATATAGCATTGAAAAAGACAGGCAAGATGCAGCCTTTATAGTTTACAATCTATAACTGTGATAAAGACTCTATAGGCTAAGCATAGGGAACTATGAAATCTACATATGGATTGGGAATGTTTACAGAATTTTCTTAAGGAAATAATTTTGGTATCTGAAAAGGTAGTGGTCGTGGGTGTGAGAAGGGGTTTTCCAGGAAGAATGAGCAGCATGTTGGAATATTTTGATGTGAGGAACATAGAACATTTTTTTTTGGGGGGGTGTGTTAATCTTTATTCAGATTATTAGAGTTGTTCCTCTTTCTCCTCACCCCCACTCTCATAGCTCCTCCACCTGGTTTCCACCCTAACTGTCCTCATCCATAGGTGTACGATTTTTGTCCAGTCTCTTCCCGCACCCTCACACCCTCTTCCCCTCCCCCCCCAGAATTGTCAGTCCACTCCCTTTCTATGTCCCTGATTCTATTATATTCAGTCCATTCTGTTCTTCAGATTTTTTATTCACTTGATTTTTAAATTCACTTGTTGATAGATATGTATTTGTTGTCACTTTGTTGTTCATAATTTTTATCTTTTCCTTTTTCCTCTTCTGCATCTTAAAGAATACCCTGCAGGATTTTATATAATACTGGTTTGGCAGTGATGAACTCCTTTAGCTTTTTCTTATCTGTGAAGCTCTTTATCTGACCTTCAATTATAAATGATAGCTTTGCTGGGTAGAGTAATCTTGGTTATAGGTTCTTGCTATTCATCACTTTGAATATTTCTTGCCACTCCCTTCTGGCCTGCATAGTTTCTGTTGAGAAATGAGGGTACTCCCTTGTAGGTAACCAACTGATTTTTCTCTTGCTGCTTTTAATATTCTCTCTTTGTCTTTTACTCTTGGCATTTTAATTATGATGTGTCTTGGTATGGTCCTCTTTGGATTCCTTTTGTTTGGGGTTCTGTGCGCTTCCTGGACTTGTAAGTCTATTTCTTTCACCAGGTGGAGGAAGTTTTCTGACATTTCTTCAAATAGGTTTTCAATATCTTGCTCTTACCCTTCTTCTGGCACCCCCATAATTCGGATGTTGGTATGCTTGAAATTGTTCCAGAGACTCATTACACTATCTTCAGATTTTTGGATTCTTTTATCTTTTCTGGTTGGGTATTTTTTTGCTTCTTTGCATTTCACTTCTTTGACTTGATTCTTGGGATTCTCTAGTCTGCTGTTGGATCTCTGTGTAATATTCTTTATTTCAGTCAGTGTATGCTTAATTTCTAGTTCATCTTTTCTCATATCCTTGAGGGTCTCACTAAATTTATCGACCTTTTCTAGAAAATTCTTGAAAAACCTTATAACTGTGGTTTTGAACTCTATATCCAGTCGTTTGCTTTCCACCATTTCTTTCATTTGTGGCCAGTTTCTTTGTCTCAGTATTTTTGCTGCTTCCCTGTGTTGATAGGGTGGCTTTGTGTCCTATAGGGCCCAGTGGCTCTGCCTCCCCAGTTGTCCTGAGGTGGACATTCTTGGTGCACCCTTTGTGGGCTGTGTGCACAATCTTGTAGTTAAACCTTGATTGTTGTTGGTATCACTGGGAGGAATTGACCTCCAGGCCAATTGGCTGTGAGAATCAGCTGTGTCTACGATGGGACAGCTGTGCTGGAGACACCCTTATGGGGCAAGACTTGCTTCAGTGGGGCTTTGGTGCTCACTGAGTCTGCCCCAAGTGTGTCTCTTATGGATCTGAAGAATTGTAATATGGATGGTCTCATTCTGACCACTAGGTACACTGGCTCTTGGATATCCAAGGAGGTGCTAATTTAGCCTCTGCCTGAGGCCACCCAGCAGGAGCTAGGGAGAGATCTGCAGAATCCTCCTCTTGGTTTGGTGTTTGGAGGTGCCCAGATGAGGCCCAGCTGTGAAACAATGCAAGCTGCTGTGGAGCCATGGGCCTTCTTTTGGAGGTTCTGGGGCTCTCTGACCCAGCTGCAGTTAGGTAATTTTAGGCCTTTCATCTGCAAAAGCCTCTGAACAGCTTGAGTAGGATTGTAAATTGAGTGGGGTGGGGTCTCTGGGAATCACCAGGGCAGAGCAAACTGCAGTGACTGATCCTCAGCCCTGCCCCGAAGTGGTCCCTGGGTCTCTGTGTCCTCTGGCCCCGTGTAGGAACAATGATCGCTGTAAACACTGAGAGAAAGCCACCTTCGTGTTCTGGCCCAATGCCAGACAGTCCAGGTTCTCCCCATATGGGTCTGGGTTCCCAGAGTCTCGCCCGGAACTGGAGTTCATAGCAGTTGGGAGCTTGGGTCTCCCTCCCAGTTGAAAAAGACAACAGTGTACTCGGTTGCCAACCCCTTTCAGTGCGTGTGCCTCTGTAACTCCGCACTTCACTTCCGCACCTCCACACCTTCTCCGAGTCTCAGTGTGCTTTTCTCTTTCCTTCTAGTTGTAGGATTTCCACTCAACCAGCCTTTCCATGGTTCTGGATGATATCCGTGGTTCTCGATGATTACTGTTTTGTCTTTTAGTTGTAGTTTTGAAGTGGTTGTGCCAGGCAGCAAGTTCAGGTGTTTACCTTTGCTACCATCTTGGTTTCTCGAGCATAGAGCATTTGAGAAACTTGAAAAGGGCCAGTGTGGCTGAAATCTGTTGAAGGTCCTGGTGCGTTGATTTCTCCAGTTTATGAAAGACCCTAACTCTTTAAGTATGTTAGAATTAAGCAAGGGAATAATTTGATTAGATTTGTTTTTAAAGAGCATTCTGGTTGCAGATTGGAGTGTTTATTATAATCCTTTTTCTTTCATTAGGCTATAAGAACCATGGCTATGTCATTTAGAGGTAGCCCAAGTGCTTAGAATACTATTTGTAATGTGAAATGCATGCTGTCAGGATTTATTTCAAGGTAGATGGGATAGAATACAGATATGTAGACCAGCTTAATTCTGTAGGCCAGTACACTAACAGTAATTCACTGTTGCTAAAGATTCAACTGCATGGTATTAGTGGATAAGCAGAGTGTGATGGAAGATGAGGCTAGAGAAATAGTTCCTGGAGAAATTTGTATGCTGTGTTTAGGAACTTGAACCTTATCCAACAAGAGACAGGGAAACCAATGGAAAAATAGAATAAGGTCCAAATTGGGTTTCAGCAGGGAGTAACACTGGAACTGGAATAGTGTTTTGTGGGGTTTGTGGGAATGACACTGAGGCTCTGAGACTAAATTCAGGAGCTGGATCTGAGAAGGGAAGAACATTTATTGAGTGCCTAATAAGCCTGACATCCTCTCAGGGTCTTGACATGAATTATCTCTGATCCTACAACCCGGAGATGTTGGTATTAACTGTCATTATTATCCGTATGTTACATCAAAACCCAGAGATATTAAATAACTTGCCTAAGAAATTAAGAGGTAGTTGAGCTCATATTTGAACTCCAGTTTACTTCAGATCCATTTTTCATTTACTATGTTTCTCCTTTGAAACGATTGTAGGGTTTTGATCAGAAAATGAAGTATTAGAATTCAGGATTTTAGAGCAGAGCAATTTTGGGTGGTGACAAGTATAAGGAAGAAGGTCACTGAAATAGACTGAAGATTAAGGGCATTGACAATTTAAAAACAGAAATTCTCCCTCTGCAATACAACAACTAATAAACCTTACCAATTTGCTTTATACTCATTTAGTGAGTTTGGTAATTAATGCTTACTGCCTTATGATATCTCTTTCTGTTCCTATTTTCTTTTTAAAAATAATTTTGATTTATCTACACTTTGTTATAGTGCCTATTTTCCCTAACTATAATGTAAGGTTATTTCAGGTAATGTTTTCACATAGGGTAGACATTTATAAATATTTATTGATTTCTTTCTGAAAATGAAGAAGCTTCCATACTTTAGCCAGCTTGGCTCGGTGAATAGAGTGTTGACCTGTGGACTGAAGCGTTCTGGGGTTAATTTCAGTCAAGGGCACCTGCCCAGGTTGCGGGGCTCAATCCCTAGTGGAGGGCGTGCAAGAGGGGCTCAATCCCTAGTGGAGGGCATTCTCATCATTGATGTTTCCATCTCTCACTCTCCCTCTCTGAAATCAATAAAGATATATTTTTTTTTTAAAAAAAAGCTTCCTGGCATTTTAGTTTGAGTTTCTGATTGCCCAGGAAATTATGGAATTATCTAAGTGTTTTAGAAGGCATGAGAACATATGATAAAGGCTTTAGAATCTGAATCCTGGTTAGATCACATGCTAGTTGTGCAGCCTTATGCAAGTAAGTTATTTATTTTTAAATATATTTTATTGATTTTTTTTTTTTTTAACAGAGAGGAAGGGAGAGGGATAGACAGTTAGAAACATGGATGAGAGAGAAGCATCAATCAGCTGCCTTCTGCACACCCGCTACTGAAGATGTGCCTGCAACCAAGGTACATGCCCTTGACCAGAATCGAACCCGGGACCCTTCACTCCACAGGCCGATGCTCTTTCCAATGAGCAAAACCAGTTAGGGTGCAAGTTATTTAATTACTCTCAGCTTTATTTTCTCCCTGTTAAGTGGAGGTCATAACTATGTAATAGAGATGTAATGAGGCTTAAATAAGACAACATGCAGCACTTAGCTCAATGCTTGGCACATTAATTACCCAAAATGGTAGATATTATTACAGACTGACTTCTTAATATAAGTTGTAAGTTATTGATGATTATAATTTATTTGTAGCCTGACACCTTTATTTCAGTGTTAACCATAATAATGTGGTGTCTTTATTTTTCTCAGTGATATAAATAGCATTTGTAGAATAATTTGTAAGGCACTTTTTCCTGCTTTTTCTCTTTCAATTCATTTCATGGCATTAACTGCTATGTTTTTAAAGTCAATCACATCTTATTTTACCATTTTAAAAGTTTTAATCTGATAGCTTTTTCCTGATATTTCTCTGCCTTGCACTGCAGATTGCTTTCCAGTTGTGTTTTGCCATTTTTGTTGACTTAGTCATCTTTCTGTCCTGCTGTCATATTATATATCATTGTATATCCTTTTTAGTTTTTCTTTTTATCTTTGAAGGCTGATGCTAATTTTATACAAGCTTCTGTCAAGTATTCCTTAATTTTATTTAACTACTTTTCTATGTCTGATTTTTAAAACTATATATGGGAACCAAACTGAGAAATGTTTCTTGACAGGGTTGTAGGGAATACTTTTTATTTATCTTCCAGGTCTATTCTAAACTGTTTACATACACTATTTAGTGTTAGGACCCTATGAGGTAGGTAGTTCATGGTTTTTATTTTGCAGATTAGGAAAATAGTAATTCTAAAGCTTGATATTGCTCATGGGGATTTTAGTTTATGATCATTGAAATTGAGGAAAGGAATATTATTGAGTAATGGAAAGAACACTGGAAGCAGAGACAAAAAGCTTAATTTTGTCTCTGCCCCTTGCTTGGGCAATTGATTTCTCTGAACCTTGTGTCTCTTATGTGACACTTCTTGTGTCACATAAGTCCATTATGTGAATGTTAGATATATGTCATCCTTACATTCCTCATAGGAAGTTCTGAGAATTAAACATGATAAAATATGTGAAAGCATGTTATTAAAAAAGTTAAAAATGCTAAATGCTATAGCAGTTGGGGTTATAAAACTAGTGGAGGGGGAGAAGGGAGACTCTCCTAACTTCTAAAAGTTGGATTGAGGAGAATGGAATAATTGGTCTTACTTTGTACAGTTGTATTATAATTGCTAAATTCCTACAGCTGCTTCTCAGTTAATTCTTAATTTTTTATCTTTATATGGTAATATCCAAAAAAGTTAATTGAATGCTCTGGTTAGCCTATTATCTTAAACTATATAAAAAATATTTCAGTATTCAAATAAAGTTCAAAACATTAGCTATGTGTTATAGGAAAGCTGATTCTCTCTTCCCTGATATCTCAGAAGTTAACAACCTGAAAAGGGTAATCAATCAGTCTTAAATTATTGACAGTACTACAGTGTTACCTTATTCAATCCTAACGTCAATAATTTAAGGCAATGTTATTGTTTATTACAGAAAAATTAAGTCACTTGGTCACACAATTAAGTGTCAGAGCTGAGATTCAAAGGCAGGTATGTCAGATTTCAAAGCTCAGACTCTTTTCATAGATGTGTATATTCGAGTGTCACTAAATGCCGGCTTATTATCACTAAGTAAAAGTGTGGAATTTAGGAAAGTCAATAGATACAAAATTCATAATGAACAAATGGAAAATGAAATATAAAAATATATGCCATTTTCAGTTATATCAAGGAACACCAAGTACCTGGGAATAAAATAGTACTGTGTAGAAAATGCTAGTTATTTATACTTTCTTGGCAGTTTAAAATATCAAGTTTTTTATGCACTTATTTTGGTCAGCATTAAGCAATTTACTGTTTTATAACAATTTGCTTTTATTGTAGTTGATGCTGATGTAACCGTGGTAGGCTCTGGTCCTGGAGGATATGTTGCTGCTATTAAAGCTGCCCAATTAGGCTTCAAGGTAAGAGTTAGACTAAAACTAGGTTTTGATTTATTTTTATTTGGGAATAGTTGATCATATTCACAAAATACTCTGCAGCCCAAAGGGCATGGCTCAGTGGTTGAGCATCCACCCATGAATTAGGAGGTCATGGTTCTATTCCTGGTCAGGGCACATGCCTGGGGTGTGAGTTCGATTTCTGGGGGCAGCTTATCAATGATTCTCTCATCATTGATGTTTCTCTTGATCTCCCTTCCTCGCTGTAATAAATAAAAATATTAAACACACACAAACACACAACATTGCAGGCAGACAATAATAATGATAAATACTTTCTTAATTCTATACAGTATTTTTAAGTCTGAGACTAATAGAGTCTCATGAGGGGGTTGAAAGTGAAATCCATTATTTTTTTCCCTTCCCCCAACACTTTTCATTTTGGCTTTTAATCACACTTTGAAAGATACAGTAATAGAGCTAAAAGCATGTATTTGGTAATATTAAACAAAAATGTTTCTTAGAATAATTCACTTTTGGTGGGTTAGCTTGAGTTTGGTATTCAGATGATCCTGTCTAATAAAATAGTAATATGCAAATTGACCATATTTATGCTATACCCACAAACCCATATGGTCAAAGATCCTGCCCCTATGTGGACACAAGATGGCCAGCAGGGGAGGGCAGTTGGGAGGGACCAGGCCTGTAGGAGAGGGCAGTTGGGAGGGACCAGGCCTGCAAGGGAGGGCAATTGGGAGCAATCAAGCCTGCAGTGGAGGGCAGTTAGGGGTGACCAGGCCTGCAGGGGAGGGCAGTTGGGATGACCAGGCCTGCAGGAGAGGGCAGTTGGGGTGACCAGGCCTGCAGGGGAGGGCAGTTGGGGTGACCAGGCCTGCAGGGGAGGGCAGTTAGGAGTGACCAGACATAAAGGGGAGGGAAACAGGCTGGCAGGGAGCAGTTAGACATCAATCAGGCTGGCAGGGAGAAGCAGTTAGAGGCAATCAGGAAGGCAGGCAGGCAAGCAGTTGGGAGCAGCAGTCCTGGATTGTGAAAGGGATGTCCAGATTAGAGAGGGTGCATGCTGGGCTGAGGGCCATCACCCCTCCCATGCATGAATTTCATGCACCGGGCCTCTAGTAAGTTATAAAATAATATATTTTATTCTCACAAACACAGCTTGAATAGCTTGTTTTGTAGTAGGAGGAAGAGAGAGAGACTTGGAATTTTAGTGAAGTGAAACATTGCAGCTTATGTGCAGTTAAATAATGGTTTGTTTGTTTTTGGTTGTAGACAGTCTGCGTTGAGAAAAATGAAACACTTGGTGGAACATGCTTGAATGTTGGTTGTATTCCTTCTAAGGTAAGCATACATTTTTGTACAGTGCAGACATTTTCTTTATTTGCCACCAGTTAGACATGTTGAGACTAGAATATTACTCATTAAAAAATAAACAGTCCAGCCGAAACCGGTTTGGTTCAGTGGTTGAGCATCGGTCTGCAGACTGAAAGGTCCCAGGTTCGATTCCAGTCAGGGGCATATACGTTGGTTGCAGGCACATCCCCAGTAGGGGGTGTGCAAGAGGCAGCTGGTCGATGTTTCTCTCTCATCGATGTTTCTAGCTCTCTATCCCTCTCCCTTCCTCTCTGTAAAAAATCAATAAAATATATTTTAAAAAAAGAAAAAAAAGAAACCTGTTTCTAAAATAAATAAATAAATAAATAAACAAACAAACAGTCCATGTGTGATAAAAACCATATTTTTTAGTTGTAAATTTAGAATGCTGTTACCAGTCAGCCATATATACGTTCTTAAAATAGCTTCCTTGTCTCAGAATATATAGCCTTTCCAATCAAGCAGACTGATGTTACTCCCCTCCCCCTTTAGCTTTCCTTTATCAATGAACTAGATAGTAGATAGTAAATTCTTTTATGTATTTAGTAGTAAACAAGCCTCACTTTCCATGTCATAAAAGGAGCAAATACACTGAAATGTGTATTTAATTCCTTTGCTTCTAAAAAAAGTAATTTTTTAAAATTTGTTAAACAGTTTTTATGTCACTATTGTTTACCTTAGATTAATTATAGAAATTTACTTGGTGTACTACTTCTTGTATGGACTGTCATAAGTGCTTTTTATAGTCTGCTTTTGAAATTTTGATAACTTTGTCTTATATCCTTTAGGCTTTATTAAATAACTCTCATTATTACCACATGGCCCATGGAAAAGATTTTGCATCTAGGGGAATTGAAGGTCAGTATACTTTCATATTTAGTGATATTAGCAATCATACTTGACTTTTCTGGCTAAAGACTTACATGTGTTTGATACATGTATAATAAATGTTTATGGAGGTAAAAGTGAGAAAAAGATCTTAAAAATATGGAAAGATTTACTTGTGAAAGATGGCTTAGTCCAGATTTCTATCATCACATCTTCTGTTCCTCTGTCAAGTTTTGCATGCAGCCTTCTGTGTTCGTGTGTGAATAACTGTGTGTGTGAAAAATCAGTTTTCATTTTTCTGAAACCCGGAAGTCACTGTGGTGGCCTGTGGATTCCTGAGTGCTAGGGGCAGATGAAAGAAGAAAGGTCTACCTAAATTGTTGGTATTGGAAGAGCAGAGGAGGAGGGATGTGGCATAATGGAAAAGGACATTTCATAACTTTTAATGTGGTTTGTCTTCTGTTGTTTTTGATGTTATTTCATTCTTTCTCTCCAATTATTGTTGTTGACAGATACATCCAAAGGGTAGTCTGTTCTAGAAAGGGCTTAAACACACATTGGAGAACTGTTTTTCCTTCATTTCTTTGTAGCAGTAGGTTTTTGAAAGAATGGGATATAACATAGGCAATCCCTTGGGTATAGAGGTGGTGAATATATATTAGAGCAAATATTGTATTAAACTAGATGAAAAGTGGAATCAAAACCCATTTTCCTTATCCACTAAGAAAAGAAGGGACAGCGTTAGTCAAGAGACGTGCATTGTAGACAAAAATTCATGTTCTAGCTCTGACTTTAGCTAAATCAAATCTCTCGTGGTCTTTGCTTTCTCATCTCTATGTGTTGGTTGCATGAGCTGATTTTTAAGATAGCCTTCTACAGTTCTAGGAGTTGAGCTTCTCTTTATCCTCTTATATTATTGCTTTTCGGAGTTCTCTTCTGAATTAAATGAGTGAATTTTTGTATTAAGCTATCTATATTTGAAGTTTCATGTATGTTTTTATTAGTTTTTGTTTCATTAAATTTAGCATTTCCTTTTATTTAAAACCAGTGGAGTAGGGGTGGGGCTTCTCTGCCCAGCCTACACCCTCCCGCAGTCCCAGACCCCTCGGGGGATGTCTGCCTGCTGGCTTAGGCCTGATCCCTCTCGCAGTCTGGGGCTCTCAAGTTCAGGACCCCTCACTCCTTACCGCCCGCCTACTCACCACCTGTGAGCCCAGCATCTGGCTGAGCAACATTCCCCCTGTGGGAGTGCACTGAACACCAAGGGGCAGCTCCTGTGTTGAGCATCTGCCCCCTAGCGGTCAGTGCCCATCATAGCAATCAGTCGCTCTGCAGTTTAGTTGGTTTACATATTAAGCTTTTATTATATAGGATAGGATTTCAGGTAACGTTTTCCTTTGCCATTTCTACTTAAACCTCTTCCAGACTTAGGATTATAAGGTGTTTGGAGTGTATATGTTGTCACAGTGGAAAATATTTTATTTTGGACTGCATTTTCCCCAAAGGTGGATTTTTAAAATCATATTTGATAAATTAATGTTACTATGATGTGATGCTGTTAGCCTTTTGCCAGCTAGGACTATTGTATAAGTTATTAAATTTTAAAATGTTAATACTGCCTTACATACAGTTTTATAAGTATTAGGTTAAAGTTTTTCATACTATGATTAGTGAAAAATATCATATATTGCTTCAAAATTTAGCTAAGTACTAAAGATTTATTTAACAAATTATAGTGCCTGAAGTTCGCTTGAACTTAGAGAAGATGATGGAGCAGAAGAGTACTGCAGTAAAAGCTTTAACAGGTGGAATTGCCCACTTATTTAAACAGAACAAGGTCAGTGTTTTTAATATTACATTGAACATTGCTTTATGCTGATAGAGTGATGCTTTTAGAATTTAACTGCTGGAGGATAGTTACTTAATTTAAAATAGTATGGTAACCTAAAATGCATTACAAAATTTTTTTCTGCTCCATGTGTAGCATTACTAAGCAAGGAAGCATTTTATATTGTATAAATTATTTAATAGAATAATATTTTGCTGTTAATCATGTTTGTTTATCAAAAATTTTATTTTAAACTTTGTGAATTTATATATATATTATAAAGGTTGTTCATGTACAAGGATATGGAAAGATAACTGGCAAGAATCAGGTCACTGCTACGAAAGCTGATGGCAGCACTCAAGTTATTGACACAAAGAACATTCTTATAGCCACAGGTTCAGAAGTTACTCCCTTCCCTGGAATCACGGTATTTGTTTTTTTACAATTGTCAAAACCTTCCTTTAGAAGTATATTTTATAAACTACTTTATTCATGCTATTTATGAAATTTGAGAGATTTCTTACTCAAGTACTGTATGTTGACAGTCATTCAATTTTGCCTGTCTTTATTCTGCAATGAATTTGGCCAGAAATAGAGCACTTTACATTAAGATATATTTAAATTCAGTCTGAAGTTAAAGCAGACCATTTTGTTTAACATGCTGAATGATAAAATTTTAAGTATTTTAATTTTTAATTGAGTATATGGTTAGAAGTCATAGATACCTTGAAACAAATAAATGACTTAGTATTTTTAGTGATTATATTATGTGAGATCACAGTTTATAAATTTCTAGCCTTTCCAAATAATTTTGATTGCATCTTTTTTTAAAAAAAATAGATTGATGAAGATACAATAGTGTCATCTACAGGTGCTTTATCTTTAAAAAAAGTTCCAGAGAAGATGGTGGTCATTGGTGCAGGAGTAATTGGTGTAGAATTGGTAAGTGATGTCTTTTCTGTCTCTTATTATCTCCATGGTGTGGGAAAAAAATTAAAGATCTCTTATTTGCTTCTTTGTATAATTATAGAGGCTCATTGTGGAATTTCTTTTGGTTACTAGAAAGAGACCTGGCCTCGGTGGCTTAAGCATCTTTGGAGGCTCATCTTGTAGGCAGCATGTCAGCTCCAACAAAGTCATTGGGAGTCAGGCGTCTTTTTCCTCCTACATCTTAGCACCGGTTTCCAGCCTCAATATCACCTGATGGCTGCTAGAGTTCTAGCAATCTCAACTGCATTCCAAGAATGGAAGGGAGGAAGGGGGGAGGGGGTAAAAGGGACTCTTCAGCACAGTCAGCTCCTTGTAAGGAGTTTTTGCATTTGTCTTATATAACACTTTGCTTTCATTTTCTTGACGAGAACTTGATGGATTGTTTCTCTGGTCATTTGCAGTAGTGAACTTTTCTTTTTTAGATACTGTTCTGTTCTGTTCGGTTAAGTTGAGGTCTGTCTTTTGTTCTCCAGTAGATGGCGCTATAATGGTTTTTAATTTTGCTTACCTTACCTGGCACCCTGAGATCTCACTGGGTTGATGTGGTCTTGGTCTAGAACTGTGGTTGGCAAACTGCGGTTCGTGAGCCACATACGGTTCTTTGGCCCCTTGAGTGTGGCTCTTTTACAAAATACTATGGGCTGGGCGAGTCTTATTTTGAAGAAGTGGCGTTAGAAGAAGTTTAAGTTTAAAAAATTGGACTCTCAAAAGAAATTTCTATCGTTGTACTGTTGATATTTGGCTCTGTTGACTAATGAGTTTGCCAATCACTGGGCTAGGGCTTAAAATATTCTTTAAAAAATAAGCATTCAATTTAAATTACAACTTCAATGAAAAAGTAAACATTTCTATTGGGAAAATAATATATTTTTCAAGCATTAGAAATTAATAGCATTAAGAGCTAGCAATGACATTTTTCAAGCGTTAGAAATTAGTAGCATTAAGAGATTACTTCTTCCCCCTCAGGGACCTTTCTTCCCACTTATTCCTTTCTGGAGCAGTTACCTGTATAGTTCATTCCTTCTCTTCCAGTCTTTGGGTAAATGTCACTGCTAGTGAAGCCTTCTCCCAGTCATACTATTTAAAATTGCAATTCCTGCCGAAACCAGTTTGGCTCAGTGGTAGAGCATCGGTCTGCGGACTGAAAGGGTCCCAGGTTCGATTCCGGTCAAGGGCATGTACCTTGGTTGCGGGCACATCCCCGGTAGGGAGTGTGCAAGAGGCAGCTGGTCGATGTTTCTCTCTCATCGACATTTCTAGCTCTCTATCTCTTTCCCTTCCTCTCTGTAAAAAAAAAAAAAAAAAAAAAAAAATATATATATATATATATATATATATATATATATTTAAAAAATAAATAAATAAATAAAATTGCAGTTCCTTTCCTTTCAATAGTCCTAGCTCTACTTCCTGCTTTATTTTTCTCATAGCACTTTACCATCTTCTTTATGAATTTTACTTATTTTTCTCCTCTATCAGAATATAAGGTTCCTGAGGCAGTGCTTGCCTAGCACTTAAATTGATGCCTAGCATATGGTAGGTGCTCAATAAATGTTGAGTGAACAGAGTGAATAAATATACTGGTATAAAGTTATAAATACCACAGTGTTAAAGCTCAGAGCTTCTAATAGGAACATATTAACAAAACAAAATATCTTATAATAAATTATTTAAGATAATTCAGTAAACATTTGCTCTAGAAATCTTTATTGTTATGATTTTTTTTATTGTTATTTGCAGGGGTCAGTTTGGCAAAGACTTGGTGCAGATGTTACAGCAGTTGAGTTTTTGGGGCATGTTGGTGGAATTGGAATTGATATGGAGATATCTAAAAACTTTCAACGCATCCTTCAAAAGCAAGGATTTAAATTTAAATTGAATACAAAAGTTACTGGTGCTACCAAGAAGTCAGATGGAAAAATTGATGTTTCGTAAGTAGGCTGCATTTGATTTTGATGATATTTTCATCTTTTTCTTAAAAAAAAAAAAGTTCAAATTTTGAGTATTTTATAATTTTAGATTATTTTATAATATAAAACCACTTTATTGCTTAGTATAACTCAGTATTGTCAAATCAGTCTATTGGAGTTTATAATTAAGTTGATGGTAGAAAAAGTAATCCAATGTTCTCATTTTAATGTACTTTTTCATAGTACTGTATACATTCAGAAGTTTAATTTCCCAAGACTCAGTAAAATGAATTCAGTATTTTTAGACTGATATGTAGGGAAATCAGTTATATTAACTAGATTGTTTACTATGTACCTGGCACTCTAAAACACTTTTATAACTTAGTAACTTGCCTAGGTCACACAATTAGTGTGACCTAGGCAAGTTATTTGGACCTTTTTTGTTATAAGACCTATGTTCTTAACTGTGTTATACTCTTGTGGTTTTTTTGTTTTGTTTTGTTTTGTTTTAAGATTTTAATGCTAGCCCTCAAGAGAATATGTACATTTTTTTTATTGTCTGAGCCTGTGTTATAATTATAATAAAATAAACTTACATTTTAGAAGTGTCATCAATACTTGAGAACTGTCTGGTTTTAAAATTTCCAAGTCAGCTATTTATGTAGATGTGTGTTTAACAGTTATAACACTATTTATTATCTAGTATTGAAGCTGCTTCTGGTGGTAAAGATGAAGTTATCACTTGTGATGTACTCTTGGTTTGCATTGGCCGACGACCTTTTACACAGAATTTGGGACTAGAAGAGCTTGGCATCGAACTAGACCCTAGAGGTAGAATTCCAATCAATTCCAGATTCCAAACTAAAATTCCAAAGTAAGTTGCTTAATTAACTGCATTTTCAATAATTTAGAAGTTTATGTCAAACGCTACTTTGAAAATAAGACTTCTGTCATGCTTAAAATATGCACTGGCTTTGGGGAAAAATAGTAAATAATATGTGAAAGCAAAATAATAATTTAATTTTTCATTACAGAAAATTAAAACCCAAACTTTGATATTTAAAGAGCTGAATTTAATATATTTTTGAGTGACTTAATAACTAGGAACTTAAAATCTTGTGAACATGTCATAACTGAAGATGAGTATCTGTGCTTTCAGAAGTTTACTCTTTCTTTTGACCTCTGTTGTAGTATCTATGCTATTGGTGATGTGGTGGCTGGTCCAATGCTGGCCCACAAAGCAGAGGACGAAGGTATTATCTGTGTTGAAGGAATGGCTGGTGGTGCTGTGCACATTGACTACAATTGTGTACCGTCAGTGATTTACACACACCCTGAAGTGGCTTGGGTCGGCAAATCAGAAGAGCAGTTGAAGGAAGAGGTAATACTGCAGTAGGGTAGTTTTACTCCAATGTATGAATTGAGTTTATGACACTGGTGACTGAGAGTTATTAATATGTTAATGTGTTTTAATTGCTATGTAGAACATTATACTTTTATATATTTTTTCCTTAGTATTGTAAAGGAGATCATTCACTTGCCTGCATTTCAAAACTGGTAATTCTAGAGCTTTTATTTTTGGCTTTGACATATACACAGATAGATTGAAATTGGCATTTTTTTATGTTTATACCAAAATATATCTCATTAACAAGCCTTTTGGTATTATCTTCTATATGTTCTGTGAAGAATTACACTCTTGGCATTTATTTTCTGAACAAATGGATGGTTTCACCAATGGGAATAAACTTTTTCAGAGTTTATGTAGGTTGTCATTTTTCTTTCTCTCACAGGGTGTTGAGTACAAAATTGGGAAATTCCCATTTGCTGCTAACAGCAGAGCTAAGACAAATGCGGACACAGATGGCATGGTGAAGATTCTTGGGCACAAATCAACAGACAGAGTATTGGGAGCACATATTCTAGGAGCAGTGAGTATTATTTCTTCTTGTTGGATTGCTCCCTTTAGTATTATGAAGTGACCTTTCTTATCTCTTTTTATGTACTTCATTTTGAGATCTGATTTGTCAGATATAAGTATTGCTACCCCAGCTTTTTTTTCATTTCGCTGGGTGCTGCTGCTGTAAATTCCAGGACTCTCAGGCTTCCAACACATCCACTCTCCCCTTCAAGATGATGCGGTCTCCGCTTCAGAGCTGGTTGCTCCGGGAGGGATCCCAGCAGTAGTGGAGGCTGCCCGGTCAGGGAACCCCGTCTGGCAACTCCCCACAACTCCCTGGAGTATAGCTGTCCCTCAACTCACAAACAAAAACTCCCCGTGGGACCACACACTGTCCCTTCGTCTTTCACTCACACACTATTTTGCAGCCTGCCTTCCTTGGCAGCCATCTTCCTGGGCTAATTATTCTTTTAAAACATGCACCATATGCCTGCTTCAAACTCACCAAGTTTCTTTTCAACTGAAGACTTACAAATCCTCACTGAATCTGGTCCTGCCTACCTTTCTGCTTCATCTCTTTCTACTCTTCCTTTTTGGACCTTCTCTCAATTTCATAAGAAGTCAGACTGTTTCCTGGTTAGAGCTTTTTTGTTTATAGTAATACCCTTTGCTTAGAATGCTCTGCCTCTAGATCTTTGTATAATTGGCTCCTTTATTGCTTGAGTCTCAGCTCAAGTGTTACCTTTTTTTTAAAAAAAAAAATATTTTTATTGATTTTTTACAGGCAGGAAGAGAGAGGGATAGAGAGTTAGAAACATTGATGAGAGAGAGTCATCGATCAGCTGCCTCTTGCATACCCCTCACCAGGGTTATGCCCACAACCAAGGTACATGCCCTTGACCGGAATTGAACCTGGGACTTTTCAGTCCGCAGGCCGACGCTCTATCCACTGAGCCAAACCGATTTTGGCTCAAGTGTTACCTTTTAAGAGAAGCCTTCTCTACCATAAATCTGAAGCTTGCCTTCCCCTTAGGTAGCTGATGTAACAATAATGAAGTAGAACATTTGAGTTCCTACTCTACAATCTTTCCTAAATACATGCACTAACTTTAATTTTTACAACTCCGTGGAGTAGGAATTGCTGTTCCCATTTTTGAGGCAAATAAATTCAATGAAGTAGTCTGTGAGTAGTTAAGGTAGTAACTGGTAGAATTTGAATCCAGAGTCCAAGCTCTTGACTTCTGTGCCACCTTTTTCTGTTGAGCTTTTCCTGAGTGGAAGAAGTTAGCTAACTGCTCTTACAACTAATCTCCCTTTAGTGTGTAGTTGTTTTTGCCATGGAAATAAAGTTACTTCTGCTTACTATTTTAAAGGGTGCTGGTGAAATGGTAAATGAAGCTGCTCTTGCATTGGAATATGGAGCATCCTGTGAAGATATAGCTAGAGTCTGTCATGCACATCCGGTAACTATTAACAATATAATAGAATTAATAGCTACTCTATTTTCTTCTGACACAAGTCCTTGAATTTTAATATTAAATTTCTTCCCTTGCAGACCTTATCAGAAGCTTTCAGAGAAGCAAACCTGGCTGCATCCTTTGGCAAACCAATTAACTTTTAAATTTGAAGATTATATTTTTCTGAAGTTTCCTCAGAGTGTTTAGAGATCACATTTCTGGACAGGATATGCTTACAGCTCCAAGAAATTCTAGGACTGAATTATGAAACTTTTGGAAGGTATTTAAGAGGTTTGGACAGAATGGAATAATGTCATATCTACATTCTAAATAAATTTAATATTTTGTTTTAGTACATTAATATTGCAAAAGAAATGCTACTTATAGTAGCACTCTGGAAAAATTTATAACCTACATTTCCATTTGTATAAGGTTCAACCTCACTGAATTTATTAGCTTTTGTCCCAGGTATAGTAAAGTTGGATTTCCTTATTACATGAATGGAGCTGCAATATGGTATGTGAACAGCTGTGTTTGAAGCAAGGTGATCAAGTTATTTTAAACTTGGTTTTCAATATTGGACATAAGAGTCAGTCATTAGAACAAGATTTAAATATGTATAAACTAAACTCATGTAAATAAAAAATAATCGTCTCTCACTTGGTTTATTTAATCCCCAAATTCTTGCCGTTTAGATATATAATTTGTGTTTAGAATTTTAAGCTACCATCAAGGTCTGTAGTCTGAAATATATAGTTAACCAAATTTAGGAGGTATTTAAATGTTAAATAGCCACTCATGTATTATAATGGGGAATGAAGATATGAAAATAAACATTTCTTAAATATTCATTTATTGAGTGGATATCAAGATAATATGAATTCTTTTGTGACTACCTCTTCTGCATTATTAATTTCTTAAAAATTCATTTCTATTGTTGAGAATATCATTGATGTCTTCCATTCCCTTTCTCCCTAACCTTTTACCCCCTATCCCCTGGCTCCTACGGCACCCCTGGCCTTCACTGCACTATTGTCTATGTCTATGGACTATTATATAACTTCTTTGATTAACCTCTTTCTATGCCCACCACCCCTTCACTCTTGAGTTCTGTCAGTCTCCAGTGTTTCCCAAAGGGTGATACGCGTACCCCCAGGGGTACGGGAAGAGTTTGGTGGGGGTACGCGTTGCACCGGAGTTTGGTGGGGATATGCACTGCACCGTGCTTAGCTGCACCTAATTCTACGTTCTCATGAGTACGAGGGGTACTCAGCATCACGAAAATTATAGAAAGGGTGCACATATGTCAAAAGTTTGGGAAACACTGGTCTATCCCATGCTTCCATGTCTCTGGACCTGTTTAGTTCATCGGTTTATTTTGTTCATTAGTTTCCACATATATGTAAGATCATATAATATTTGTCTTTCTCTGGTTTATTTCCTTAGCATAATAATCTCCAGGTCCATCCATGCTGTAGTCCATTGTAAGCTTAATTTTTTGTTTTAAATTCTCACCCAAGGATATGTTTTTTATTTTAAGAAAGGGAAAGGAAAGAGAGAAAGAAACATCAGTCAGTTGCTTCCCATATGTGCCCTGACAGGGAATCGAACTGTAACATTTTGGTATATGGGACAGCACTCCAACTGACCAGGGCCTACTTCTCCTTATTATAGCTTTTAAAAGCTTGTATGTACCTTTCCCCCACATTGTAGTATTAAGACATTTAAAAGGTCATTACCCTTCAATCTGTTTTGGTGATACCTACAAAATATTTAGCTTGTACTTTTGGGGAAACAAGGTAAGAGAATATTTCATCTGTCTTTTTCTATGTAGATTTCCATTGTGTTCTTGGCTGGGTAAGTGACTGTTTCTTTCAAGTATCCTATAAAATTTTATTTATTGGTAAATACTTAAGATGGCCATTTCTTGAAATATTCAGATAATGGTGTTAAATGACAAGTAGGATTTTGCCTATATTAACTAAATTTAAGAATCATTTTAGATTAAATAGTTCTCAAATTTGGGATAGCATGAATTTAAAGAGGAAAATAAGCTATCTTAAAATACTAGGAATAGGCAAATTAGATCTTCACTTGATTACAATTTAAAGTTTATAGTAGTCTTAAGGAAAAGTTGGGGGAATATAATTTATCAGCAGAAAGCTGTATAGAATACAATACCATCAGTTGATCATAGCTTAAAAAAAAAAGAGTCTTTAGTATTCTTCAGGTTTTAATCATATATGGGGAATATTTTCCTTTTTCTTATGTCCAGTGGTCCTGGGTTGTACATGATTCTTTTTAAAAATATATATATTTTATTGATTTTTTTTTTTTTTTTTTTTTTTAACAGAGAGAAAGGGAGAGGGAAAGAGTTAGAAACATCGATCAGCTGCCTCCTGCATACCTCCAACTAGGGATGTGCCCGCAACCAACATACATGTCCTTGACCAGAATCAAACCTGGGACCTTTTAGTCTGAAGGCTGATGCTCTATCTACTCAGCCAAACCAGTCAGGGCTGCATGATTCTTATGAATAATACTATGCAAAGATTCTGATTCTTACATACTTTGTAAAAGGTGAATTTTTAAGTGGATGGTTTACTTGGCTGATCTCCACTCCAAACTTGTCTTTGTGTGGGACAACAGCTGAGATCTCTATTCGGGTGTTTTACCGTTACCTGACTGCTTGTTCCTTGCAGATGTAATTCACTGGTTAACCAGAGATTGGGCAAAGTATATACACAATTGGGGGGTCCTCTCTTGTGTCTCTTGCTTAGATTTTGTAGTTATTAGCAGGAGTGTTGGTTTGATATATGCTATTTGCCATTCCCCCCCCCCCCCCCCAAATCCCAATACTATGTGAAGTGCTAGTTTATTTAAACCTTAAGCATATCTTACTCTAGGGGAAAAGTTTCTAAGTAGGGAATACTGAAATAAAATTTAATATGAAGTCTTAGCTATAGAGAGATACAAAGTAATAGTTAAATTCAACTTTAAGGATTCCCATTCAATATGAGAATGCACATTTATTTGGGTGGGACTGATAAAACCATTTTTTAAATGTTCACTTACTGTTTACTAAATTCAAAATATTTTTGGCTGGTGAAAGGTAGGGCTGAGCTCCTTGTCCAGTTCATTAAGCTGATTAAAATTCGTAGTTTCAATGTGATTTCTCTGGTTATTTAGCTGTAACGGAGTGGGGAGTAGTGACAATTTCTATTTTAAGTGAAATACATAGGGGGAAAAAATACTTCCTTTCTCCAGTAGGTGATGCGGTATGACCACTTTGTTAAAGTGGCAACTAAGTGCCTCGAACCAGAGGGAAGGTAGGTGCCTTATTGTTTAAATAATTGTTTTTATAACTTTTGTTCAGGCCCCACTTCAAATGCAGCTGTGTTGGATGTGTGGGTGGTTATAGTCCACAGAATGGTTGTTGAAGAATGTGTGAAAAAATCAGGGCCTGGTCTGTTATCCAGCTGTAAAGACACAGGCTTGGCAATTGTATTCCAGTTATTTTCTTTACCCTTGTAGAATAAGTGATTGTCATATGATTGTTTTGGCCTCACCTACATAGTACCTTAGGAAAGAATCTGTAGTTTGTGAGTTAAAAAATACAATATAAAAGCTGAGTAGCACTGCTCCCTCAACAGAAGCAATGTCTAAACTCTGGCTTCTTTAATTTAAACCTTCCCCATAGTAACCTTGAAAAAAGTCACAATTTTCTAAAAATTACTGTTTTTTAATACTGTGGGAGTTTTGGAGATTGGAGCAACTAAGCAGCCACTGAAATTGTGCAAGTAGCTCCAGCTCGGGAGGCGATTTGGGTTAGATTTATGGAGGATATTGGCCTAGCAAAGAGATGAATAATATGTCATGTTTACAGACATCAGGGTCTCCATAGAGCAATCAACTTGTTTATAAATCCATATTTACAGTGAAAATAACATTCTTTTGTTCAAGGGATTCATGAACACTAAAATCAGTAAAAGTCACAATTTAAGAATTATACTAAACATATTTATACAAAAGCACTGTACTTTATTAAACTCCATACAAAATGTGATGATTAAAAACATTAAATAGGCCATGAGTTTTACTTGAAGATCAGTAAGTCAGTTTTTAAATGTAGCTATTTTACTTTGGTCACCAGCTGTCTTATAGCCCTTCCTCCTTCATTACAAGCAGGTGCTGTAAATAGTAACTTTCTGGCTTATATCCTTCAGGAGTGTACGGACTTCTCCTTCCAGTCTTTCTAATTCTTGAGCTTTATCTTCTAAATATTTTTGGTTGTCCTCATATTTTCTTTCTAAATCTGTGAGAGATAAAAAGAAAAAGTCTGAGCAATTTATACTGTGATGATCTCAAAACCTAATAATTATCTTTGCTTATAAGGTTCTATCTATTATGTGCCTGAGACAAAGTGAATGGATTTTCACCTTTTAAATAAAAACAAACTATGCATGCATTTATTTTAAAATACATAAAATAAATGCATTTTTTTTTTGTGAAAGAGTGAACAGACCTACCTTTCAGGAGTTGCAGCTTGCTGTTTGCTTGAGCCAAAAGTGTTTTTGCTTCATTTTGTAGCATTTCCGCTTTCCTTCTGGCATCAGCTGACTCTTCGGTTTTTTTGGCAATTAAATTTTCTACTTTCTTATATTTTTCATCAAGTTCACCATCCAGAGTCTGTAGTGGTAATGTTAGCAATTACATTATAAGGGCAGTAATTGTGGCAAGCTTGGATCACATAGGTATTAATTTGCACGGCAAGCATTCTGGATTAAGGGGACTCAGGCTTCAAGCTATTCAGTGGTAAACAGTTGAAAACATATTGAAACAGTGGAATTACCTACAACATTGATATGACTTTTAAAAACACTTTGGAGTTTTAACTGGTCTAGGGCTAAGTCCTCTCCTGCTGATTAGCACTTTTCTATGGAGACATTCTAGCGAGTTTCTCAAAAGTAGATGTGCTGAGATTTAAATTTCAAAAGGGGCTCTTTTTGAAGAAATGGAAGGAGGGCCATCTGGATTCTTGACTAATTTAGGGTTTGTAGAGACTTGTTACCAAGAAATTCGGGAAAAGGCAGATTTAATTGAAGGGTGAGTTGATAGTATATGTGCGTGGTTGAGAAGAGAAGCTGGTGTAGGCTTGGAAAGA